AAGATTGATAGTTTTAAATGAAAATAAATCAATTCTTTCGAAAATTATAATATATATTAGTATCTGCACTTTTAATTATTGTATTAATTAAGCTATAACCTTTACAAGTATAATATAAATAATAACCTTTTTTAAAAAGTAAACTAAGGATTAAATCAAAACTTTTATCAGGTTAATCCAGCTTAAATTATGTAATTTTAGGTTAATTTTAAATTTCCTCAGTTCTATTATCTTGCCGGCTAATGTGCTTACCAACTGCCTGCATGTGTGACAAAACTTTCTAATTAAAGTTGCTGCAGCCCCGCACTGAAAAGTTGACAAGTTCTCACGTGTGTTTGTATTTGCAAAGGCGAGGACAAAGTTTTCGGTGTCGGCTTTTAGGCGCACTGCGTAATATATTTTACTTTGGCTGGCGCTGTTGTTTTTGCCTTCGCTGCGGTCTCGATTATGCAGGGAATTTAAGTCTGATTTTAATTAGCTATCCGGGCAATTAGACAAGCTCCAGACGCATGAAAAAAACGTTCAAAAGCAGAAATAATTCTATATCTGTAAAAAATGTAAGCCAAAATTGATTTTCGTACAGTATGTAGGTAGTAATATGATACGGAAATTAGCACAAATAAAATGAGTTTCAAAAAATAAAAACACTATTTTGAGAAGCTTAAAACGGTTTAATTAGTAATAAATCCGCTAATATCCCTAATATATAATACGACAATTGTCAATGTCCACAATGTTTTCTTTTTCCAATTCGGCTCTTCATCATAATTTGTTAGGCATTCAAAAAACGTAAAAGTTATACCCTTTTATCTTGAAAAGAATAATTCTTTCAGAAACACAAACATTGCAATATTAATCATTCATTTGTAATGGATTCACCTCCTTTAATTTACTTTTCTTATTACAAGCAAAGATTTAATTTACAAGTTTCAAGTACAAAGGCTAAATTTTTCTCTTTGAACCCACTCGAGCTAAACCTTAAAAGAGTTAAGGACTGGCCCGAACTCAAATCGAATAAAAATACAACTTGCGAACTGGGCAAGCAAAGCCAGATGAAAATGGAAGACAACGACTACCCGCTGGTTTGGACTCGAGTTCGCAATATTTTTAAGTTTCCCATTCAAATTGAATTAAATAATATGCACTCGACTCGCAAACAGAACTTTCCCCGAAAACTTAACTTTCGCTGAGCTCGACGGGGTGGGGGAAGGGAGATTTGAAATGGAAAAGGGTAAGCAAAATAAGGCAAGGATTCTGAGGCGGTTGCCTGCAACTTTCATAATTCATTTCTGCCTGAGTGTAACAATTTTTGCACTTTATGACTTTCGAGTGCGCGCTGTGCGAGTGCCTTGAGTTTGACTTTGGGGCCCGCAAATCATGCAATTGCACCAGCAACTATGCCAGCAACTACTACAACTGCAACAGCAACTCTCAGCGGGAACTTCGAGTTGCAAACATTTTGGGTGCATCCTGCTTTTCTGGAGGGTAAGGAAGGCTGCTTCTTGCCTCATTTTTGTGCTAATTACAGGGGCAGGACGCGGCTGCAGACGGTGCATTCCACTTGGCAACAGTCGAAAACAAACTTGCGGCCAAGAACAACAAACAGGCAACCAGAAAACGACGATAACCATAAAGGCCAACTCAACAGTAAAAAAAAACCTAAAAGAAACGAGTCTTAGCAGAATAATACGACTGCTTTATACCTGCTAATAACATTTTTAGTATGGCTAAAAGTATGAATGCTTTTTTATGTTTATATACAACGCTTAAATATTTAACTATCTTAATATATTATTTTCAAAATATATTTTGCACATTAACCATAAGCTTTCTTTTACCACCTTTCTCCTGTTTTAGTTTAACAAAATATCTGAACCCTGTCTAAAAATTAGAAAAAGCTCCTCAGTATGCAATCCTGATACATTTCACTTAAATATATTGAAATACAATATACCCTTTACGGCTTAAATACTGGGTAAGCAAACAAGGAGCGAAAGCGAAAACGAAAAAGCAAACAAAAGAGCAGCGACAGGCCAAAAGGCAAGGCCAAAAGCCTGACCAGGAAGTTGTAAACGGCCAAGCGGCTTTAGGCCAGGAGTCCAGTTCTGTTCAAGTTCCCGAAGCAAGTTGAAGCTCTAGCTCAAGCCGGTCCAGGCAGTCAAAAAGGGCTGGAAGGCAAAACAAAGCCAACGGCAGGTTCGTGGGCCAGAGCAAAAAGATTGGCAGGCGAAACGACCTCGGGCCGGGGCCAAAAGTGCTAGTACATGTTCTACGAAAAGCAGGTAGGAAGTCCGGCTAAAATGCTCACCACTTGTTTACCTGGAAGTGCCGGTTGAAAAAAACAAACAAGTAGTAACCTCCAAGCTTGCTAAATAAAATCTTCCCTCAAGCACAAAAAAACGCCAAGTGTTTGCCTTTTTGTCGATCATTACGGAAGTTTTGAACTTATTTTTGAAAGAATAATTTTTTACCTTAAAGCTGCGGTCCTTATTGAAAAGATAAAGTCTTTCTAGTAGAGGAATTTTGAACCTTTTACATAAAATTCAAATATCATTTTTATCTACTAATTGATTTAAGTTTTAAGACTGCTAGAAACCTACACAACTACAGTACATAAATGGTAAGAAAGGCTGAACTTATCGGTAGAAAACTTAGAGCTCCCAGCTATGGTTGACAGTATAACCTACTCTAACTGACAGTTAGCCAAAGGAACTCAAAACTTCAACGGTTCATTAATTATGTCAACTGCCAAATGAAAACTTGAATTGATTTAAGTCATCCTCTCCTTTACTCCGCAAGTGGAAATCACTTTCCTCAGTTCAATTTTGAAGGCATACATTTTATGGAATTCGGAAATCAATTTTTAGGGACCTATGTATTGACACATGTGCATGTTATTTCGATTTAAAAGAATATCTTTGTAAGTTTGAGGTTCGGTTTCGTTGGCGTATCTTGCGTCCATAAACATTGTTTATGTCACGCATTGACACGCGTCGTCCTTCTCGGTGGAAAAACAGAATTTTTCGATTTATATGTATATACAAAGACAATTGAATGCGTCCTGCAGACGGAGTTCGATGTTACGTTTCGGTATTCGTGGCTCGGAATTTCCCTTATCGCCTCCCACTCCCACATAAATATAAATAAATACATACAAATAAATATCAGAAAGGGATATGGGAGCCGGGAAATGGAGTCGGTCGTGGAACACAATCGAGAACAATAACAATGCCGCAAATAAAAGTGGAGTTGGTTAAGTGAAAACACTTGAACAATTCAACCGGGCTCAGTTGGGAGCACATAAATAATTCGCTTCTGATGAATTTGAGGCACGTGAATTTCCAATAAAACAACGGTACAATAATTAAGGTAAACGGGGGAGACTGCAGTAAAAAACTTAAAGTAAAGGTTAAATATTTATCTTTACTTTACTTTGACTTTAACTATCAAAATCTGTTGGGGAAAAGTGGGCTTAAGCAAGGTTCTTAAAGAGTTACACAACAATGAAATTAGTTCAGGGGTAGAAATATTCTGGCACATCAACTTAAATAAGATCAATGTACTTCCCTTTTTGATCATTTATAAAAAACCTAAATTTCCATTAGTTAAAGTTTACACATACCAATTAGCTCGTTTCATCAAGTGTTAACTTCCTAAAACATTAAAAATTGCTTCATTTAAGAAAAATGCAAACAAAGAATTTCGTCGGAAACAAGATGAGTAAATAAATCAAAACTGAAACTACAAAGCAGCCAAGCCAAATAGGGGATCTTTCAGGAAAACTAATTAAGTAAATCACCTTAAATTGTAAAACCATTTAGTTTTATAACCAAGAGATCTGATTAATTATATCTTTAATACCTTGCGATACAAATAACGTTTGTCGAAGAGCACTACACTGTGCTGATGAAGCGATACGAATCTTTTAAAAATGAATCCACTTAGGCCAAATACCTCGGCAGCAGAACACAGAGCTTAAAACTATTTGCTAATGCTTATCAGAAAATACCACACGAATCTTAACAATGGGCTGCTGAGCAATTAATCTCGTGGATCCAAACCAAACCAAACCGAACACAGCCAAAACCCGAGAAATCCGGTTGCCTCTAATGCGGCTCATAATTTATGAGCCTTCGCACGCACACAAAAAAGTCTTGGCGTTAGGAATCAACGCTCACATAATTTGCATAAATTGGAGATGTATCAACTGAAATTGAGGTAATAAAGCCAACATCCAGCAGTCAACAGCCTACATCCCGCGAAGGGCCCTATCAAATTCTGGGCTTTGATGGCGGAGATGATGATCTGCTATCGGGCCACTTGTAATTGGCACTAATTTGCTTTCACTCCATTAAAGAATCCCCCGCACGATTTAAATGCAAATGAGGGCGTTCCACTGGATAGCAAAAAAAAAGAAGAAAAATAACAGGTTGCCCCCATGCGAATACTATTAAAATCAATTAAGAAATGGAAACATAAAATCAATCTCCTAGCACGAGCATACACCCTCTTGTTTGAGGAAGTGACGCGAAACCAGCTTCGCTTTTTATCACAATTTATGCAAAATGCTGGCAAAAATGTTAATAATTACATTCGCTCTCACCGAAACGAAGTTAAGCAATCGCAGGTGTGTGACAACCCACCAAGAACCAGAGATACTGGACATGAGATACGAGATCTTGTATCTCATATAAGATGCGACCATGAACCTCTAAAGTTCAGCGTTTAATCAGCTGTTTCGGCTGCATTCTACCGAAATTAAAGAGTGATAAACGCTGAAGAAACCAATTAATTGGACTGCCAGACAGACACTGAGCAAGAGCAAGAGCAAACTCCGCTCTCGTGCTCATCTGCCAACCCAAGAAAAATAAACTAAAACCCCCGTCTTAATCCGGTTATTAAACTTTACACTGTGCAGCAAGATCGTGTAACTTCTCCCTCGTTTGAGTTTCGAAATGGATTGGTATCATCGACTATAAAAATGCTGCGCATGCTCAGCGGCGCTTTTAGTTCGTTTTAAAATTCCAAAGTGATCGGTTCGGGATTCGAGTATTCCCAGTTTTAAAAAATATAAATCCAAATAGGATCCCTCGCAAATATGTCACTCAAATACGTAAGTGGACGACTCTTCTGCATAATCGTGAATTTTTAATTGCTCCAAATATATACGGAGGTTGTGCTTAAAGCTGGTCTTTCCTGAAATAGACTTTAAAGGAATGCAGCAAATTGTTCTAATTAGCTATTTGCGTAAGCATCATTAGTGAAATTCCAGTTTACTGCATAAATTACAATATGCAATTGGTTCTACCCACGAATTAACATAATAAAATCATTTGTTAAGTGAACAAATCAAATTTTTAAATATATCGCTAATTTAATATTTGATTAAAAAATGACCAAAAACCTAGACTGCCTTTGGCTATTTTATATATATTTATTCAGTGAAATAAATGGCTCTATTATCCGAGGTGTGAATCCACGAACCATGACCATAAGATGACGTATAATTTCTTCTATTCAAACTACGAATATGCATAAATTTTAAGCTCGATTAGTTTCATTATAGTCGCTATGTTAATCAGGGCCGGAGAAGGTCTAATGACCTTTCCCACAAGGGAAAGGAACATTTGCGTTAGAATATAAATGCGAATAGAATCGACCATAAACCATTCCAGTTTTAGCATGTGCCAAACAATGCAAGGCTTTTGCCAATTTGAAGGTCGAAACGTATTGGGACGGAATAATTTTAAGAGCTCCCACACTTTGAAAATTTGGAAATTGGAACACATTTGGAATGGCTGTGACCATATCTAACAATAGGGCCACACCGTAAGAGTTATATACGAAAATGGTCAACAAATTGAATTGAGTTATTAGCAGTCTTTTCTTAAATCTTTCCATGCAACAGACAATGGAATTTTTATTCCAGACTTATTATATGGTTATTTGACAGCTGAATAGGACCATTAACAAGAAATGTTAAAGTTTAGCTTGCAGACAATAAAATGGGATTTAGCTTTTGGTACTCACTAATTTTAAAGAAAAGGAGTTTTATTTAGTAATTATACGAGTATTCATTAAAGTTTGGATAACTGAGCTACCTTCTATTTTATACTTTACTTTCATTAAGGTCTCTTTCAAATATAATTTCTAAAAACGTATAATCTACGGTTTTGCAGGTTTTTATTGCATCCGCGGTGCTGATTGCTTTCTGTGGAGCTGATGTGTCGGAAATAAAGGCTAACAAAGTGGACCTGCCATTCAATGACTTATTGCCACCTCTGCTAGATGAATCGAGCACCACCACCACCACTACGACCACAACTGTGAGGACAACCACAACGTTGGCCACAAAACCCACCAAGAAGTCGTATTACCAGAAGCCAGCTCAACTGGCCAAGGAGGATAAATCGAAGTCCAGTGTGAGCAAACAGGATGTGCCGCAACTCCCTCTGGATCTTCTGCCACCCTTCGAGGACGAGGCCAAGCCAGCGGAGGAGAAGCCACAGCAAGTGGTGAAGACTACGCCGAAACCCGTGGTTAAGGTTACTCAGCCAGCTGTGCTAAAGTACACTACGACGACTGCACCCAAGATCACTCATCCTGCTACTCCCCGTCCCCAGTACTCGATTCAACCAGCTCCAGCTTCTCGTCCCCAGTACTCTGCCCATCCTCCTCCTCAAGTGGTGCAAAACAACCCTTCTTATGGAAGTGGGTTCCAGTCTAGGTTCTCTAACTACTTCCTTACTAGTACCGTTCGACCAAGACGCGGTCCTTTGCCCACGATCACTCCCTTCCCGCGATTCGTCAGGCTGTAGGAATTCGATTCCAATTCCATTTAATTAGATTAGATAAGCAAGCATTCAAAGGCCAAGTCAAGACATAAAATAAATAAGATACGAAAAACACTGAGATAATGAGTGGAAACTATGCGGTATTATTTAAAAGCGACTGTTCAAGCATGAAGCTCACAACAAAATATTCAAAGATTTCAAACGTTGATGGATCTTAAATAACTTATGAATGCATAGAAGTGACCATTTCGGATCACAGAGGCATAGCCATCTGCTGGCGTTTCGCCCAGTCAGGTTATCTGTTTTAAATTAACACTTTTCTGAAGGTATTAAAGTGGGCGAAGCTAAGAAGATTACAAAAAACGATAATTATTAATAAGCAAATTCTTGAATTTTTCTTAATAATCAAAAAATGCACTTTTGAAGGCTGAAAGAGCTAAACCAGAAAAGAAAACCTTGGTTATTACGAGACATATATACAATTATGGAAATATATTAAAATATTATTTTGAAAGAAATTACAAACATAGTTTTATTTACTTTTATTTTAACCCTAGGTATAAGACTTGTCGAAAATTTTAAAACAAAATTCCTAGAGTTGAAGACACTAAGAGTTAAGGCTTTGATTTTCTGATATATTTTTATGGTAATCCAGTTTAAGTAGAAATTCATCTCAACATTTTTGCTGAAAATGTAAGTAAGGTAACGTTGGTTTAAAATTATTAGTGGAGTACAACTGTCAAAACCTTGACAGTTCCCTTTAAAAAATAAAAATGTTTCGCAAGGTGGTGTCTCCACTTCCACACAATCAGCAAAATTTACTTATCAAACTTCTGAAACACCTTTCCCTTCCTCGAAACAAACATATTCTAGTGTCTACCGCAAAGGCGGAATCCAGATTCATTAACAGCATTTAATTAATTGCTTGGCGCCGCCAAAACAGAAACAGAAACTGACACTGAAAGCCGCTGTCAGCTGCCAAATAGCTACAAACGTTTTAGCCCCCGGCTAATATACATATTACGGCACCCAAACCCAAACTCAAAACCCATAACCCAAGCCCAAGCCAAACCGAACCGAACCCGAATCCAAAATACAAGCGTGAACCCGAATCCAGCGCTTGACATTCGCTCAACCTGCTAAATGCTAATTACTTGGCGTTGATGATGTCGCCGACATTCGGGCTGTCAGAAATTTGTCGCATTCACATTGCTATGAGAGTCCAGGCCAGAATCCACACTCAGAATAAAAACTTTAAGAAATATTAATTTTTGAATGGCAAAACATGTTGTAAAAAGGCAAAAATCGTGCTCAATATGCAGTAGTTTTATGTTTTGTATTTTGTTTAAGGTATAAATAATAGGTATCTCGGAAAATGAGTTACTACTCTCCTCCTCCCTGAACTTGGGGACTCAAAAATAAGATTAAGCAAATTTAACATCAAAAAGTATATATAAATCTTGTCCGGTTGCATTAATAGGACTTATCTTAGATCATTTTGTTTCTCCAAGTGATGTGCAATGGGAAATCATGTATGTAGCTCGGCCGATCTAATCAAATCATTGCCATACCGATTAGCCATATTTATGGCTCCCGTTTGTCACTGGTATTGTTGTTATGGCCGTTGTATATTTGGCCGCGTTAATTACACGGCTGATTGACATTAATGCCTTTTCATTGGCCGATGGTGTTATTGACGGCAAGTCCGGTGGCGATCTTGATGCAACAGCTGATTTAAATGGCTATCTGGCCTCAGCCATAAATGAAGCAAACATTGCCATTGATTAATGGCCTTTAAATAAATTTAATAAGCTATTAAAATGATTCTGATAAATGGAGTATGCATATTTTGAGAGGAATACCCTTCCAACGAATGTAAACATTCCAGTGATGAATATTTTTAACCAATTTCCATATTAAATGATTGCTGATAAGCAAATGTGGCCACAAGCACTTCTGTAGGGAAATCATATGTATCACTTAAAGTTCAATTCAACTGAAAGGCTTTTTAAAGCGATTAGCCGGAAATCAATTTGCTTTGAGTATTAGATGTTTGATAGCTTTGTATCGGTTTTGTTATGTATTGTAATTAAAAACTGTTTTTGAAAGTGAAATAAAATGCAAATAATAAATCATGCAATACACAACATTGTGTTACATGAATAACTCAACTTATTCCATTATTTACAAATAAACACAAACAGTGCTTGATTTCATTTCAGATATGTTGCAAATGTAATGCAAAAATTTCCAATTAAAATGTCCAACTGAGCGTAGGCTATAATATCACGCCAGACAAAACAAATTTTCTACACAATTTCATGAAAAATTGATAAAACTCTTTTCAATTGCCATGGAAACTTTGTAAGCCGATTCGCATGATACTGGCCATGTTATAGCTACTGCAGGGCGGGCTAAGGCCGAAGCCCCTCAATGTCAGGCCGCGACAAAATCATAGCGATTCACGCGCTTCAGCTAATTACCCAATCCCCTGGAGATCCTCCCGCAGGAAATGCCACGAGCTGTCAAGCCGAGCAACAATTTAAATGACACTAACCGATGTTGAAAGGCGTCTCGAATGATTACATTTCTTGTAATTCAAAGTAAGCTATTAAATACTTAAAAGGCGAAAATTTGATTGGGTAATCAGCTTATTTTGTATGGGAATTTATAGGGGAGGGTTCCATAAATGATATGGGGCACAGGCTTGATCATTCCAAATAAGAAATCCCTAACTAATAAATGATTATTTCATCAACAGATGAGATCGTTATTCTGCTTATCCAATGAAATTTACGTAATAAATTTAGATATAATATTTCAACTAGCAAATGCCAACGTCTGATATTATTTTTAGGTACGCTGGCAAAGGGTATTGGCACGAAGAGCTCTCATTAAAAAAGTTTTCCCTGTGATGCGTGGAAAGCCATTAGATGGCCATGGCATTGGAGGGGGTTTTCCACTCTTTCACACCCTCTGGCGTGCGGATCTCGCAGCAGCATTAAAAATCGCTTTTACAAATGGTGCCATAAGCTCTTAGGCAAACTTTTAATGTGCACACACACACACACACCCAGACACGCACATAGTTGGCATCGCACGAGGGAGAAAGATTTATGTGGCCAACGCGGCGTATGAGCGTTGCGAAGTATTTTCAACTTTAACACGAGAATCAACCGGCCCACCGACCGATGCCCCACCGCCCCCAAGTATTTAGATATATTAAAAGTGTCTAGACTATGCCACATTAGGCAACACAATAAACAATATACACAATAATAATAAAAAACGGAGAGAACAGATATACGGCCACTAAATGAAAATGTTGTCCGACCTCTTTTCATGGTCAATAAGATCGGAATGAAATGGCAACATTTATATTCCTCTCGATGCAAATGATAGCCAAGCAGCTCGCTTTTAACAATCATTTTTTACGCCACTTTAATTAAATTTTCCCACTTGCTGCTCAGTATGTTAATTTCATTTCCCCAACCGAAAGACGATTTTCACTTTTCGCAGCTGTCGCCGAATGAATTAATGACCTTAAGTGGATGGTCGAAGGGACAATAACTTTCCGCCGCAATACTGATGTAAATGTTTGCACGAATTTTAAATTGATAGTAAATATTAAAGCTTTCCCTTCCCGAATCCTTCAACTTTAAATGCAATTTCTCGCCAACTTTTCTCATTTGCCCAGTGCATACAGTAATAATTTTAATATGACCATGCAGCCGCCGCATCCGAATGGAAGGATCTGGCGGATGATGGGGCTATCATTCTGGACACCACCCACACATATCCCTTTAATTATGCTATGCCAACAGCGGGCGGGAGAGGGGCAGCAGCTCTGCATCTCGAATTTACATAAGAGTGGCGAGTGACGAGTGCAGAGTGGCAACAACTGACCGATTCGAGTATTGATTGTCGACGTTGCCAACGCAGCTGCCCATTAGCTGGCATGGTCGCCAGTGCTGATAAAAAGACTATTTTCGGGAAGTTACTATTAAGTTTTTACCTTATTATTAATAAATATAACTATAATAATAATAAACAATTTAAATCGATCAACATCAGTCCAATCTCTCTTAAGTACATTGTTATAAGACATATCTTTATTTAACTATTATAGACAATATTGTACTTTGCATACGAATAGTTCATTTGACGTTTATATCGCATTCTGGAAATAGTCTGCTGGCAACACTAATGCTCGCACATAAAGCCATAGATGCTCCAGCCAACCGTTAATGTCTCGCTTCAGTTACAATAACGGAAATGAGTTTTAATGCGAAAATAATTGCATGTCATTGACGTTGACAACAGCAACAGGACATAAGCAAACAGACAATGCGAGAATATTGATATAATATCTCTGATGAATGACAGACAGTTCAAGTTGCCGCTGCCACAGAATCTGGGTCTTTGCCCTCTTCATCTACGACCGCTGCCAAATTGATTCAAATTGAAATGCAAAACCTTGACTTGTATACTGCCGATGAGTGGTGGTTCGCAATTTTCTTTGATTCATAATTTTCTGGCCTTAATTGAAAAGTGAAATTCACAAGACCATTGAAAAAGATTTTTCTCATTCAGGTTTTCTGCTAAAGGTGGCTTTGAGTTTGGCATTTGTAATTCAATTTGTATGATATCCCATTTTTGCATTTATAAATTTCATGTACATTTCGTATTATTCAATGAAATATCTTAAATTCCAAAATTCTTAATTTTTTAACAAAGGTTTTTCTAAACGAAAAAGTATGTAAAAACTTTTTGTGAAGAAAAACTATTTTCTTACACGACAACTGCAGTTTCTTTTGCAACTAATTCACTGTCTCAAATATTCATAAAATTGGCTTGCTTGAAAATTCCCATTTGCTGAGATAAAAACAAATCATTTTTTATCCCTGAACGGTTTTTGAGGAGATAAAACTAGACCTGAATAATGAATACTGAACATCCGTCAATCATAAACTTTGATTACAATTTGTAAGGCCACAGTCGGCAAACAAATTGAGGCGAATGACAAAATAGATTATCACTGCAAAAACAGGAAAATGAAAATGGCAAAAACCAACACCAGCACGTCCCTGCCAAAGGAACGAGTTGAGTGTGGACCCAAAAGATTGAGATACAAACGAAAAATGAACAAGCAAATATAGCAATTGACCTGAGGGTGGAACTTGGGGACAGGAATATTTGACATTAAAATAAATAATTCATTTATTCGACGACAAACCGTGTAAATTCCGAAAGTCTGGAGCCTGCCGGGGATCTCATAGAAATTATTAATAATTTATTTTAGCACATTTCAAGGATTTCGCACGCCGGCCACACGTTTCGGCAATTTCCGGGTAACAAAACCGGAAAAATACTTGAAAATGTAATAAATTTCCAAAGACGCTGTGGCCCCAGTTTTTGGCCAGTCCGCTCAG